AAGCCATCCTCAATTTGTCCTCTTACACCTGTGGCAGGATTTTGCACCCCGAGTAAGACGCGGTCAAACTGGGATCTGAGAAAGCTCAGGGGCCAGGCTGCCCTCTGCGCAACGGTGATATAAATGTGGCCAAAATTAAAAAAAAAAACCCAAACCCCACAATTAAAACATTAAATCCAATGGAGACCATCTTGCCCTGCTCTAAGTGAGAACAGGGATTTTGGCCTCACCACGAAGAAAATACCAGCTCCAGCCAGCTTGGCTGCTGCCTGCTTCCCTGCAAGCAGCAAACCTTCCTGGGAGAGGAGCAGGAGCCGGACCCAGCCCCGCGTGATATCTGTGTGTTATTTTCCCTGACAGCTGTGGTGCATAGTGGTAAGTGCATGTTTAATTCATTCACAATTTATGGTGTAATGAGAACAATGAATGTGTCTGAGGGAATAATTGCTTCACGGCGGGGATGCTGGAGAGTTCAAGTTGGTTGGCACCTGGACTTTGAATCGGGGCTGCCGGGGATTGGCTCCGCCAGCCCCACAATAGCGCCGATAACAAAGCTGCCGGGGACGGGGAGGGGGTTCAAAGTCACCCCACACCCCCACGCCGCCCAGGCGAGCTGCAAGAGCCTTTCGCCAGGACAGCAGCAGCCAGAGTCCAGCCCCGTTCGACCCGTCTGGCCCCATTTACCAGGCACCCGGTGAGGGCTGCGAAGGCAAGAGTGGGCTTTTTTCAACTTGCATTGACAAGTGAGTTTTCCTGCGCTGCAAATCCATGCCCCTTGAAAACCAGCACTTTTCCTCTCCCCCCCCCCATCTCCCTCTAGGACCCCTTCACCACTTGGTCCTGGCCACGTCTACCAAACCCCTCCCTTTGTTGGGGGTGTAGAGAGGGGGTTGACCCTTTCCAGTGTCCTCAGCAGCCACATGGAGTTTCGGAGGCCTCAGAGGTCAAGAGCATCCATATGGAGGGCCCAGGAGCTCCGTGCATCTCCCAGCTGTCCCCACGGCAGCTGTGCTTGCAGCCCCCGAACAAAGCTCATTAGGGGGCTCGTTATGACACTCAGGGGTTGCTCTGTGCTGTCCTGGAGGAGCCCTGAAATCAAACCACCTTGAGGAGGTTGCGGCCAGAAGAAGGCATCGCGCTTGGCTCCCGTACATGGACGGCCACTTATTCATCAGGCTGAGGGCAGACGGAGCACGCTGCCCATCGCGGGTTCTTTCCTGCAGGGGCTGAGCGGGGCCAGATTTAGGGTTGACAATAAAGAGATGCCGACAGAGCACAGCCCGAGCCTTGGCCCATGCAGCACAGGATCTGCAGCAGCCCTCTCGACAGCTCCCGCCTCTTGGCACCTCGCGGGAAGGCAGATCTGATTTCTCAAACAGACGCATCAAAGCCTGAGCAACAAATCTGCCATGCCACAAATCCACCCTGAGGAGATCATCTGTCAAGATGGGGCTCTCGGACCCAGCATCACACATTGAGGGAATCAGGCTTGCAAAGCACCATGAGACGCTTGGGTGGAAGGTGCCATGGAACCACAGCGGCTGCTGTTAATTATTACACCGTTATACTGGGGAGCTGCGCTATAGACCATCAGCACTCGAGCGTTTCCATACATGGACCGCACGGGATGGAGCTGGGACCCCATTCTTCTCCATATGGGAAAGCCGTGGGCTGGGGATGTGCTTGCCTTGGACATCTTTCAGAGATGCTGAGCCCTGTTACACATTAACCCCCCCTGCGCAGGGCTCCACAAAACGTTTTGAACACGTTTGTAATGCTTGGTGGCAAAGAGAGCCTGCTTTTAGCTGGGGCAACATCTGGGTACAAGCAGATGTGGGCCAAGCTGATGAGCAAACAACTGCCAGGGCTTTCCCTTGGGGACTGGAAGGCACTTTTGAAAAGTGTTTAAATTGTTTAGGTGCATAAATTCAAAGCTGTCACTTGAGCTAGGAACCCAATTCGGATTAAAGAAATCAAGATTTTAGGATCCCATGTCCCCCTGAAAGTATTCTACCTGCCTACACGATGCCAATAACCACAGTTAGGAGCGGAAGGTAGAGTTGAGGTACAGACAGAAATAGGAATTTGTAGTCCTGACAGAGAACCGTGTTTTATCCCATCTAGTCTGAGGTTAAACACAATGTTCTGTCAAGCCACATACAGAGGAAAACATGGTTTGGCAGCGGCGTCTCGCGTAACCACGGTTAAACATGGCATACCTCCGCGGGGCCGCTGCTGCAGCGGCGCGCGATTTGCATCGTGTGGAGCGGCTGCCAGCTTTACTTTCATCTGCGTCTTAAGAAGATCGAGGAAGCAGCGCTGCTGTAAATACATCAGCCGTTGCGTCCTCCCTGTAATGCTCTGCCTCGCTTTCCCTCTGGAGCTACAGCTGCTCACCGTAAACCCAACCTCGCTCTGCCTGGGGAGGAAAAACAACAGACGCCGAGCGCTTCGAGAGAGACCCTGCCAGGACGCAGACCTCATCTCTTCACAGGCAAGAAAAGGTTAAAACCAAGTGTGACTGCAGATGTGAAAATACAAATTTGGCTGGGGCTCGACACCTTCTCCCCCTGCTCTGTCCTCTCCCGAAGCTCAGCCATGGCCCAAGCCCCCCAAAGTCCCATCCCTGGAGGAGGATCCAGACCCACCCCCAAGCTTGATCTCCTCTCTACTCTTCCAACACGATAAATGCGGCCCAGATGACAGGTCAGGACACAAATAAAACCATCCATAACTGCACATTGTTAATTACTGAGGGTATTTGGGTTTCTTGGAGAACATTAGGTTGCAAAGAGTCTCAATCAAAGAGCCCTTAAGGCATTCAAATCAAGGCAAGCATCAAAACCCAGAGCTGTTTTGAAAACAGAGCTTCAAATGCAAGCTTTGGAGGGGAAAGGCTTGAACTCGCCTGCCCAGTAACCAGCACGTCCTGGAAGGGCTCCATGCTACAAAGCCGGCCACACACAAGGGCAAAGGCTGCGACCTCGGGGGGATGAACATCTGCAGGAGCCTCCAGGGAGCCCCAGGACTCAATGGAGGGTGATTTCAGCAAGGCTTTAACCACATCCTTCACCCAAATCCTGAAGCAGCCACCACACCGCAGGAGAGCGAGGGAGGTGCTTCCTCTGCTGCATTTTTGCCGTGGGGCTCCCAACCCCAACCGCCTGTGCCCATGTGGCATCGCTCCGAGGCTGCGCTGGTGAGAGGTGCATTTTATAGCATCGCTCTTCGCCAGCTTGGAAACCATCAGAAGAAAAAAGTCAACTCAGGACGGAACTTTTGTCAAAAAATTGCAACTGATAATTGCAGCCCCTGAAGTATTTTTAGCTAGACCAGACCAATGTATAATATGCAATTATGTTTTTATAACAACAGAACAGTATTGCAGGTAATTAAAGTGTGCAAAGAGGGAGTGAAAACAGCAAAAAAGTAAAATAAAAAAATCACAAATTAAAAGAAGGTCATTAATAGACACCAAATTCAGGAAGAAATCACAAATCAAGAAAAAGGACACAGTCAATCTCTAGCTAGCAGAGCTGACGACAGTTCAAAGGACAGTTATTTTTAAGAAAATGTCACAACGGAAGATGATTTGCATGATGTAGGCCCACTCTTAGATCAAAATGGAAGACTAACAGCAAAAAGTCAAAAGTGTTCCATGTTTGGAAAAAAAGCCAGGGAAGCAATTAGAATGGCGATAACACAAGAATCTATTGTGCATCTTACAGCAAAACATGGCCATCGGCAAAGCTGCCTATGACTTTTTCAAAAGCTTGCAGGCCACTGCCACGCTTGGTAAAATGTCCTGCTTGGAGGGGAAGGTCTGGGGGGACCACAGAAGATGGCTTCATTCTGTTGTGTGGGATGTTCCACGTTATTATTGACCTAAGCCCTGAGTTTAATTCCAAATGGGGAAAAAAAGACTGAGTCTCAATAAATAAAGATTTAAAAGAATGCATTATCATTAATGCCAGCCTATTTAATAGTGTCCTATTGAATTAACTTGGTATTATCACAAAAAGGGTTGTCAGGCTCTGGAATGGGCTGCCCAGGGAGGTGGTCGAGTCCCCATCCCTGGAGGTATTTAAAAGAAGGATGGATGAGGTGCTTAGGGACAGGGTTTAGTGGTGGGATGGCAGGGTTAGGTTAAAGGTTGGACTCGATGATCTTAAAGGTATTTTCCAACCAAAGCGATTCTATGATTCTATTTTTCATGGGGTTTTAGAGAAGAAGAACAATGATAACTAAGAGATAAGAAATTACAACCTGTAAACAATTGAACTTGCTCTGTTCTGCTCAAAAAGGTTTAATCAGAAAAGCTCTGATCACAGTCAGCAAGCTGTAGAAGAGGGTTTCAATAATATTTGGGTAGGAGTTCTTTTTCCTAATAGAGATGCTCTATTTCAGCCAAGCCTGCTGGATTTGAAGTGGAACATTAGTCAGGGAAGTTTTAGGAATGGTGTTCCCAGGCCATTCCCGAGTCCCTTTTGGTCTTTAGCTCTCTAATTACAAGTTTCTAAGCACCCATGCAGCTATTCCACAGCTGGGTGCTCATCTGAGTATACGTACGCTTACTTGAAAATAGCCATCATATGAAAAAAAGCCAAAGGCCTGCAGATCCTGGGAGATCTGCACACACCCATTAGAAAGCTTCTAGCAGTCGCATGAATTTCAAAATATTATTTCAGTTTAGGCTTGGTGCTTCTCCCCCTCTTCCCCACAGTGACTACGTACCCTACAGCGACTGGCCAAACCCCAGCATCTTCTGTAACAGCAGCACATGGTGGCGAGGGGCCATCGGTCCCTCCTCCACCCAAGCACTTCCCATCCAATAATTTAATATAACAGCAGCCATAATTTTCAAAAAACCACGTGCACATTGCAGAGGCTCCACCTGAGCAAAGCCCTCCTCTTCCTCCCCAAAGATAAAAGTGAGGCAGAGCAAGGGGCTGGGGCCGGCTCATTCCTCGCAGGGCAGCCGGGGCGGTCCAGCCCCCAATGCTCACACGCATCTCTGGATGCTCAGGCCCATCTGTCGAGGTGGCATCACGCCAAGTCACGAGTAGGCTGGGTCCTGAGCAAGGCTCAGCATCCCAGGCCAACTTTAGTGATGCTTGTCACAACAGTGCGGGCTCGCCCCCGAGAACAAAAGCCCTTGCATCTCTCCTAAAATATGGTCTAGCATTGCCTGGAGAGAAAGGATCAACCCCCACCAGAATTACATGAAAGAAAATAGTCCACAGCTCTTATTAGATCCATCAGAAAGGTTAAATAACTTCATTCCCCCAAACCATCACAAAGCACTACTGATGCACAAACCCACTCCACGCGGGAAGCTGCTTTGACTCATATGAAACCCCACCAACTTACCACAGGGTAAGACCTTCTGTTGTCCTTTGCAGAGAAGATGTTCATGTGAGCCTTTCTAGAGTCACCCAACAGCAAAGCTGGAGCTGCTGACACAGCTCATGGGGTGCCAGAGGATTTTTCAGCAAGAAGAAGGTGGAGATATCCACAGTACTGCTGCTTAGAGAGCTGCCTCAGCTTTGAGAAAGACATTTAGGAGCATAAACCAGCTCAGATATAACCCACGCTAAAGGCAGAGACTGACCATCAAACCCATCTATAGGTCTGAAGCCCCCCAGAAGGTCCCTATTTATCAGCCCATCCAAGCATGGGGGTGGGCCCAGACTTAAGTGCTGGCTTAAGGTTAAGTGTTTGCACATGTGCTTTGGCCCTAATTCAATAAAGCTGGTTTGTCCTCCTCCTTTTTGCCCATGATCTGCAAGCTCTGGCCCCGCTGTTGTTGGGGCAGGGTGTGGGGTGGCAGCTGGACCTCGTTGCTGTAATCAGAGCTTCTCTTGCAGGTGCCTGGTTTACTTTTTTACTACACCCAGTATTTATATTTCAAACTGTAGCATAGTAGCCCAGTGGTTTATAGCACCCATAGAGCTGGTAGGACAACCATAGCAAAGGTCTGAAAAACAGCACTGAAGCATCGCTGGGGTGACCATCTGGGGCCAGGGGTGGCAGGAGATGCTGGCTGCTCTGTGCGTGCTGCTGCAGAAAGGGGGATCCATGTGTTTGCTGTCCTCTTGTTTTACTACTTCTGCCTTTACAGTGAGGAAACTGGGCCTCGTCCAAACCCTGTGAACTCTAAGAGAAACTTTCTGGAGATTGAAGCTGGCTCTAGATGAGAAGTTGTGGGTCTCGCTGCTCCTTGCTCAGGACAGAGCCAGGGGATATGCAGCACGTGAAGCCCCACGTGCCCCACCTCTGTGCCCGTGGGAGGCTCAAATCCCCTTTCTCCATGCTAAATGCTCCAGCGACAGGAAGGTGAGCTTGGATGGGTTGTGTGACACAAGCCCCAGGAGTTGGACCAACGTGTGCAGATGACAACCCGGAGGGCCTGTTCACTGTTTTGTGGTAGGTCCTACCACTTTGCACTGGTTCAGATACAGCCACAAACCCGTGT